GGTTAGGGGAAGGTTGGGGGGGGGGGGTCGGGGGTTGGCTGGAAGTCGCTTCAGGGTAAAACTCGATAAGAGGATAGGCAACCCTGAGGCGACAGTGTAGCACAATCATAAACCATGGCACATCAGGGTAAATGAAGGTCCTAAAAATTACCCTACCGCATCAGTGTCACTACCTAAAAACCACCCTGTTCATCAGGGCATCAGGGTGATTTACCCTGATAAAATAGGCCCTGAGCTACAGGCAGTTACAAATATAGGTTTGACACGCTTATGACCGATTGTTTCCAACAGTATTTGCATGTCTTAATCATCTCAAGCATTTACATTCACTCTGCTATTGAGGCCAAGGGCCCACCAACACCACTTCTCTGCGTGCAAACCTTCTTGAGTAGATCGTAGGCCACGATCAACTTATGAATATAGCACTGCAATGCCCAAAACCTGTCCGCATCAATTTAAATACAAAATATAACGATCTTTTACCGGCCAAGCCGCTTCTTTCATGCATTGCTATTATCCCACCTCTTTTTTATTAAGTGCATGGTTAATATTTCCCGAAACACCATTGAGTCCTACAGCAATTTTACCCTTTTGGTGATACTGCGAACACTTATGAAGAGGTTTTACCATAAGGCTTTAGAACCTGTTGCTATGGACGTTTCGGTTCAGTTCGGTTGCGGGCTATCTAGCTCATATACCAGAGCTGTCAATGTACAATGCAGTTAATGTCCAGCCATCACACATCTTCGCCGCGCTGGAACACCCTCGTCTGATTTCCTAAGCTGGCTTGCTTGAGGACGGCGGTGGTGAAGTCTCACGTGTGGGTGATCCCTGCCAGGCCTCCTGCTATTGGGCCGCTTTGCTTGCCAGGTGTGTGAAGTGAGGCCTTGCTTTTCAAGCCTGATTTCTAGGCATGGCAGTCGTGTGATTCGGGTAAATGAGTGGCTGATGCAGCTCATAAGATTTGATTTATAAGGGCACTAAACCCGAACTTTGTGTACAGTACAAGGATCATAGCAATGGGCAGTGGTTTTCCGTCACCCGTCTGGCGGACTGCCATATTCCAGGTTGTCTTCAACCAGGGCAAAACTAAAACACACGGTAAAGTCTCGACTGCGTAGGGTTTCCATTCCAACAACCCAAGTCCCATACAGATTCTTCAAATCACAGATTTCGCGAACTCCGTTCGCCCATATCGCTGCAAAATCCGAACCACATCAGGCCGAACCGAGTTGGATTCGTGCGTGCGTCTGCTGGTTCTGCTGGAAGAGCAAGCCGACAGCGAGGTCCTTGTGATCATATCGTCGAATCATCGGAGTCAGAGGAGGGCCGCCTTTGCTGCGGAACAGTGCACCAGCATCACCCCCCCTGCTGCCATTATGGCTGAAATAGTGTCCGCGCGTTGGCCAAATCAAGTTTCCCCTCCAACCCAGGTTCCCATCCCACATCTGTTAGTTAGGAGCACACTGCCTCTTTCTCTTCAAGGATAACCATTTCTCAGAATTTCGACAGACGTCTTTGAGCTGCCGTTCCTCAGAGACCGTTTCAATGGTTCACAATGAAGGTTCTGTTTCTAGCTATCAGTCGCAATACTACCAGCCCGTCATTAGTCTGATGGAGGAGGAAACGGAAAGGTTAAGTGGCGGTAGGGCTGGCAAGTGGTCGAGGTCGATTGGAGCCCATAGCGGCCTCTCAGATTCTCGCGCTACTGCTTCCGACATTTCCCGGGTCTCGTCGCGAGAAGAATCTGCGCCGCGCCACGTTCCTGACATACTTTCCCGCCGTAATTTGGGCCTTCTTACGAAAAATGGCTCACCGATTGATGCTACTAGGGTTTCTCAGCGACAGGTTCGATCTCCAGGAACTTCTGGTCACGCGTCGGCTCAGCGAAGCATCTCCGGGGAAAGGAACGGCTATCGTTACAATCGTGTCTATTCAGTCCCACCAGCTGAACTGCCATTGGCTGGCGACGGATCAGATGCTGTGCTGCGTGGAACCAGAGATGGTGTTAATCGCGCGAGTTCCCTTCGTGATGTCAGCATGCGGGGACCTGGTAGCACTGTAACATCAATGGGAGGGCCAAGTGCTTTGCTAAGAGTGGCGGAAAATGGAAGTATTGAGGGTGTGTCTGCTCAGGAGTCTAAAACCGGCTTTGTAGCGGCTTTGACATGGCAGGCCAAAGTGGCGTTTTGTGTGCTTCTCCTCCTGCTGCTGGTGGTGCCAATATTGCTGCCTAACCTTGGAGCGCCTCCAAGTGCCATTCTCCTGCTGCCAGTTGTGGTAATGCTGCTACTTCTGGGCCTTGCTGTTCTGCCTTCATCTGCAGTTCCTTCTATTAGTTCATATGGGGACGCTGCTACTGTATGCTTATAGTTTCCCGTTGCCCTGATATAGTAGCTCTCTAGTAGTAGGACTGGTGTACTTGTAACCATATTAAAACTTGGCCAGTTGTGAGCCTGGTTTTGAGAGATGCAATGAGTGCGGGATTTCTTCAAAAGTAATTTAACTTTCTATATATTGCGAGTACACTTCTTCCTCGTTTCAAGTCTCACCGCAACACGCGGCACTCCGGGTCAATTCATCAATGACCAGGGTCGGGGAAGGGCGCCCCCCCGGTCAGCCAAAAAGCAACGCGCGCTGCGGACCACATTGTCCGCGTGGTTGTGAGGCTCGCTGGAAGAAGTTTGGGCGACAGTCCCGTCCGCCAGAAGATATGCTTATAGCCTTCAAAACCCTCCCCATCCCACCCCACGCCTCTACAGCAGCTGTTTTTCGTCCCCTTGCTCCCCAATCACCCCCCCTCCTGGTCAGCGTGTTTATTTTCTCAGCGGATACCGTGTTAGAACTCAACAAACCGAACGAAACCGCTACACATCCCCATTGAAAACAGCGCGCTCCGGATCTGCTCACAATTTCGGATGGTGTGTGACTGGAAGGAAGCTTTCTGGGGTTCGTGTTGAGTGCTTCAGACGGTGTTTCCCTTGTTTGACAATTATTGGTGCCTCAGGATTCTGGAGCAGAAACGCGGAGAGCTTGAGCGTGCCTTGCGGATGTTCACCCATCGCGAGGGCTGCGCATGGCGACGTCAAGCATGCAGGACTTTCAGAGTCGTCGTTGCGAAGAGCTGGCTTTGGTTTCATTGTGCTTGTGTTCTGATTCTTGGACCGTGAAGTTGTGTGTCGGAGTCCCCTGGAGCTACTCAGCTTGCTGTTTTCGTAGTTGAGGGGAGTCTAGTTCTAGCCTTTCTATTCGCCTACCTCGCCAATGCTAGCGATTCTCTGAAGGCTTCGCCCCTCGCAGTGGTTATTAGATAGTATATTGAATCTTCCTGACTGTTTGTCATACGCGGCCAGCTTTGTCCGAGAACATTTCATTTTCCTCCGGGTGGTAATCCTTTCGCGTAGTTCGACTACTATTTGGCACGAATAAAAGATGGATTCCCGGTTGTCGGACCTATCGAAGGTAATCACCGCAACACTGGAAACATGACGCTCTTGTTACGATTCCTTCGTTACTGCTACTCTCGTTTCGGTGTCGTATTGATACACAATTCCGTGGCTTCGCTCGCAGTGGCCGTTAGATTTCCTCTGGTGCACCGACCAAGACTGGACGACGGACATCATGCCGTCTGACTCCGCCATTGAATCCGCTCTCAAGGTACCTACCACCTTCTCCGTCCGCATGCTGGAACTTGTTTAGTGAAGCTCGCATCGGTTCCTGGACATGGATTAAGAAGGTCTGTTTCTGGTGATGCAGAGAGACGACGAGCTGCTGAAGATTCATGCGGAGTTCGTTCCAGTGATGCTCAGCCATGAGGAGTTCTGGAAGCGATACTTCAGGACAGTTGACGCCATTGAACGCTACCCAGGATGGACCTCCGAGCAAATGGTGGGTCACTATCTTACACGCGACCTCAGCTTCTAGGCCCCCAATATACGTCAGCTTCTAGGCTCCCAGCATGTGAGAGATTCTAAGCTGTAAACGCGAAATTTGACTTTGCAGGAGCGGCAGATAAAATCAGCGAGTCAGGCGCTGCAATACGCATCGAAGAGGCACAACGTCTTGGACAATGTCTCCATCAGCGCGCCGAGTGCTTTCCTCCTGCGAAACCTGGCAATCGCCGTCCGGTCAGTTGCTGACTTCTGTTTACCTTTTTCTTTCTTGTCTGGTTTGATTTTTGTTTTTCGAATGTTTTTTCGTCACTTCAAACCTTATTGATATTTTTTCTTTTGCAGTGATGCGGAACCGTACACAACCGTGAAGGAGCTCGCGGACAGTATCTATTCTCCCTCTGGCGTGTTGTTCCGTGCTGTTGAGAAGACCCTAAGCGGCTCCTCGTGGCTGCCTGTTGCTACCACACCGGAAACACCCCCTATAGAAGCTTCACTATCGGATTGCTCAAACGAGGACGCGGTTCGGATTCTCTTCAAATCAGGTGCCTTGACAACGAGCCATAGCATTTTTTATCATCCACCTTCTTGTTCTGAGGAGGATGACCAGGAGTTGCCTGCATATGTTGGTATCCGATCCAATCCGCGCGTCTAAATCTCCTGCCCTGCACATGATATGTTCCCTCATAATTGACGAGACTATGCTGGTTCCGGTGTTTGTTCTCATGCTGCTAGCAGGGGAAATGGATGCATTCACCTGTGGCTGCTGGCGCGCCCTCACAAACTTCTCCCCAAACTCCAACCACAACTCTTCATCCAACGGCTCTCAGCTCTCCTCATCCAACGGCTCCCCTATAAGCAACCACGGCTGTTGCTTCCAGGAAACCGACCTGGACCAGAACCGGATCCCCCTCCCTCCCCTCCGTGAGATCTCTCTCAACAACCGCATCTGGACTGTTGAAAGCACCACCTGGATCGCCATCAACGGCGTGTGGTTCACCTGCTGGATTGCACCAAAAGGGGGTGCTGAAATCCCTGCACGGCGCTCCTGCTGGGAGCCTGGCTGTTCGACTGGCAGAGCTGATGGCGGGGATTGGGTCGCCTGAGGAGATGGCTCGCCTGTGGCTCGAAGTCATGCAAGAGGTATGTGTGCATGAGGTGTCTGGTTCACCTGCTGGGTCGTACGGAAAGGTGGTGCTGAAATTCCTGCACGGCGGCCCTGCTGGGAGCCTGGCTGTGCGACGGGGATTGGATCGCCTGAAGAGACGGCTCGCCTGTGGCTTGAAGTCATGCAAGAGGTATCATGGGTACCTGTGGGGTATGCGTGCAAGGGCGGATGTGGTATGCATGCTTGAGGTGTGTGTGTGCATGAGGCATGTTAGCCGAGAGGGCAGGGGACTCAGTCCTTTTCATGCCCTTGCAGATTTTTTTATTTTATTTTTTTTCGTATGCTCCACGGACTCCCCACCCACACGTCAGGTGCGTGATCAGTGGGAGGAGGGAATCGCCATCCCGCATGTGTTTGCAGACATGGAGGGGGCGGACGTGGGCGTGTGTGGGCGTGCTGCAGCAATGGCAGGTGCTCGACTGTGCTGTGGCCCGGAAAGCGGCATAAGCATTCAGGAGCACCTGCCTCACGTGAATTGCCCTTTCTCATGCCTCTACAAAATTCTTCCCTGTTCGCGCTGCAGGTTCACGATCGGTGGGAAGAGGGCATCGCGATCCCACACGTGTATGCAGACAGGGAGGGGCCCGACGTGGGGGTGTGTGGCGTGCTGCAGCAGTGGCAGGTGCTCAACTGCGCCGTGGCCCGGAAGCGACATTCAGAACAACCAGAAGCTCCAGAAACACCTGTTGCGCCTGCAGCAGGGGGCTTCCCCATCTTATGCCTCACCAGAAGTTTCCTTTTCATCCCTCACCAACTCCCCACTTTGGCAGGTTCGCTATCGGTGGGAGGAGGGGATCGCCATCCCGCACGTGTTTGCAGACAAAGAGGGGCCGGACGTGGGCGTGTGTGGTGTGCTGCAGCAGTGGCAGGTGCTCACTGCGCCGTGGCCCAGAAGCGGCATAGGCATTCAGGAGCACCTGCCTCACGTGAATTGCCCTTTCTCATGCTCTACAAATTATTCCCTGTTCGCGCTGCAGGTTCGCGATCGGTGGGAGGAAGGAATCGTGATCCCACACGTGTATGCAGACAGGGAGGGGCCGGACGTGGGGGTGTGTGGCGTGCTGCAGCAGTGGCAGGTGCTCAACTGTGCCATGGCCCGGAAGCGGTGGCGCAGGGCACGAGTCAGCAGCGACATTCAGAGGCACCTGCAGCACTGGATGCACCAGAAACATCTCCAGTGGCGGATTTCCATTTGTCATGCATGCCTCACCAAATTTCCTTTCGCCTCTATGAAACGAATCCCTATTCGCATTGCAGGTGCGGGATCGGTGGGAGGAGGGGATCGCCATCCCACACGTGTTTGCAGACAAAGAGGGGCCGGACGTGAGCGTGTGTGGCGTGCTGCAGCAGTGGCAGGTGCTCAACTGTGCCATGGCCCGGAAGCGGTGGCGCAGGGCACGAGTCAGCAGCGACATTCAGAGGCACCTGCAGCACTGGATGCACCAGAAACATCTCCAGTGGCGGATTTCCATTTGTCATGCCTCACCAAATTTCCTTTCGCCTCTATGAAACGAATCCCTATTCGCATTGCAGGTGCGGGATCGGTGGGAGGAGGGGATCGCCATCCCACACGTGTTTGCAGACAAAGAGGGGCCGGACGTGAGCGTGTGTGGCGTGCTGCAGCAGTGGCAGGTGCTCAACTGTGCCGTGGCCCGGAAGCGGTGGCGCAAGGCACGAGTCAGCAGCGACATTCAGAAGCACCTGCAGCAGCAGCACCTGCAGCAGCCAGACTGCTTCCCTTCTTCTCGGAAACAGCTTCTGGGGATTTCGGGCGGTTCGAACCGACGCTGTGCAAGACGTGTGGGAGTTACAATCTGTCCGAAGTGCTGCTGGAAATTCCGCTGGAATCACCGGTGCGATCGCCACCATGTGGATCGCCGCGAGGCGGATCCCCCGGGTGTTTTGCCGAGGAGAACGGGCGTGTGCTGAGTGAGCAAAACGGCTCCTACTCCTGGGCTTGCTTCCCTGATCCAACTGGCACCACTGCAACAGCAAAAACTCTTGACCCGACTGAGACTGAGACTGAGACTGAGACTGGGACTGAGGGTCCTTGCACGGGGCTGGCAGGGCAAGATTGTGGCAGTGAAACAGGGGGGATGCGCCTGCTGATGACAGGGGCGCGCATGTGTGTGCCGGAGGTGCAGGATGGGCTGCTGATCACGAGCATGTACATAGCAGAGCTGGAAGAGGCCGTCATGCACACCGGCAGCCTCAACATCGCCCACAAGAGGCTCTTCTCCGACATGCAGGCGTTCAAGGTGCGCTGTGAAAGGGGGAAAACGCGGCTCCTGGTGACGGGGGTGCGCATGTGCGTGCCGGGGGTGCAGGATGGGCCTCTGATCACAAGCATGTAACCTAGAAGAGCTGGAAGAAGCCGTCATGCACATGCAGGCCTTCAAGGTACGAAAGTGAGGGGGGGGGGAATGCGGTTGCTGGTGACAGGGGCGAGCATGTGCGTGCCAGAGCTGCAGAAAACGGACTTCCACGTCGGCAGCAGCCGCGTCACCTCCCACAAGCAGCTCTTTATTGCAGGCGTTCAAAGTACGCCTCTTGCTACGCCTGAAAGGACTTCTGAGGCGCCGCAAAAATAGACTCTTGCTGTGCCTCAAAAGTCCTCTTCGGGGTGCGTTCTGGAGAATTTGGAGCGGGTGGTACTTGCTCGCCTTCTGATTGGTCCAGAGCCTGCTGATTAGATCCACATTCGCTTGTCTGTGTGTTGTTGTGCATTGCCTTGCCTGTGCAGGCTGCCAATCCAGGATGCATATTGGAGGACTTTGTGCGATGGTACTTCGCCTGCTGACTGGTCGAGTGACGCACCTTCCACCAGAATGGGAGGAGGGGGAGCGGAGGGAGGAGTGGGAGGGATGCGGGAGGCACAGGAGGGGAGGGTAACGATTCTAGTGGCTCGAGTGATGAGGAGGGATGTGTGCAAGGAAAGGGAGAGCGCAGCACGATTGGATACCTGAGCACACGCATGTCAGGCCCAGGTGCGTCGCGTTATCTCTCACGTCTGCCCAACTTGGGGTATAAAACTCCCGCTGTGTTATTCCCAGGTATCTGGAAATAAAACTCCAAGCACACTTGCTTTGCGTCTTCATATCATGGGGCACTAGCGTTGCAACTCTCCAGTCAACCCACTCATGAGTTATTCTGCACGTGTTGCACCTGCTTGTTATTCTTGACATGCAGACAACAAGTGGAGGCTGTATTGGAGCGAAGCCAAGCCCATGCCAGCCCTCCTGCAGCCGCCTCTCTTCGACGAGTGTGAGGCCGGGTGAGTGCTTTGGTGGGCCGTCTACGCACCTGTTGAAATGTTTTTCCATGTCAGCTCACGTGATATGATTGCTCGTGTGTCAAATGTCCAACTTGCATGTGTGCGGCACCGAGCTGCTTCAGCATTACTATAGTATTCTCCTCCTTTCACTTGGGCTGCTCCTTGAACGGCCAACAGGGCAAGGAGCTTGGAGTATCTGGAGAAACATCAGTCCGTCAGAGCTCTTCATTCAAACTCTTCACCTGCCTCGTAAGCTCTCTTCACACCACAACTCTTGCTGCGTGCCTCCTAGTTGATTTTTGAGGCGCCTCAAAAATCATGCTGCGTGCCTCCTAGTCTGCCTGGTGACTAGAAACGCGTTCTGAGAAGCCCCTCAAAGCTCAACTCTTCACTACCCTTGCCTTGTAGGCCTGGTTGGACGATGCTGTGACCACAGCCACCATCCTCCCTGTTCTTTCTCTTGAGTCGACTCAAAAGCGATGCTGTGACCACAGCCACCATCCTCCCTGTTCTTTCTCTTGCAACCATCCCAGGTGTCTGTGGGGCGCTCGGCAGCGCTTCAAGTGGCCCCCTTCCTGCAAAACGGCAGCAGCAAGACCTGGTTGGAAGATGCTGTGAAGTCCATCTTGCATGCGTTCTCCAAAAGCACCCTGCATCATCTCTCTCCTTGCAACCATCGCAGGTGTCTGTGGGGTGCTCGGCAGCGCTTCAAGTCACTCCTTTTGTGCGGGACAGCAGCAGCAGCAGCAAGGCCCGGTTGGACGATGCTGTGAACACAACCGCCATCGCTCCCTTGCCTCTCTGTTTGCCACCTTCCCAGGTGTCTGTGGGTTGCTCGGCAGTGCTTCAAGTCACTCCCATTTGTGCGGGACAGCAGCAGCAGCAAGGCCCGGTTGGAGGATGCTGTGAAGACAACCGCCATCCTCCCTTGCCTCTCTGTTTGCCACCTTCCCAGGTGTCTGTGGGTTGCTCGGCAGCGCTTCAAGTGGCTCCCTTTGTGCGAGAGAGCAGCAGCAAGGCCACATTGGAAGATGCTGTGAAGTACATCTTGCATGCGTGCAGGCGGCACATGACACAGGACAGAATGCGTTACATCTGCATGGTACGTTGCACTTGATACTGAGTTACATCTTCACGTTATGCTGCACTTGATACTGAGTTACATATGTTGTGCATGACAACTGAGTTACTTCTGCATGATACAACGAACTTGACACTCAGTTACATCTACATACCAAGTTGCGCATGACACTGAGTTACATCTGCCTCGTCTCTTCGCCTGTCCCTTCTATTGCCCCACCATTCCTCTCCAGGTTTACGAGGCAATGGAGCAAATCATCACCGACAATGAGACGGTCAATCACTCCAGGAAACACTTCAACACCAACAGCACCAAGCACGTCTATCTTGCCTATTCTCAACTCTAGTGCCAGAGGTCTCAAGGACATCAACGGCTCTTATACCATGAGTGCCTGGAGTTCTTCCTCCAGCAGATCGCCCAGTGATTCTCCCGGTCGCACCAGCAGCCGCAGCGGCAGCAGCAGGCTCAGGGTGAATGGAAGTAGTAGCAGCAGCAGTGACAGTGGTGGCAGCAGCAATGACAGTTTGGAAGATCCAGAGCTTTTCAGCCAGCAAATCCCCTCTGTGTGGAGCTACATGCATGACGGGTACACTGGCCTGTCGTGTGATGGTGATGGCGATGGGGATGGGGATGGGGATGGAGATGCAGATGGGGAAACTTCTGAGGCGGCTCAAAGCGATCCGGAGCTCTTGAAGCAGCAGACGCCCTCTGTGTGGACCTACATGAATAATGGCTATGCTGGTTTACCGTGCAATGGGGGACCAGCAGCAGAGGAGCCTGGGGCGCAGACTTTGGACAACGACTGGAGTGTCGAGTTTGAGAGCGGTTGTGATGAGTCTCGGGTTGGTGGTGGGAGGGAGCGGGGGTGTGGTGACTTGTTGCCGGTCGTAAGAAGCATGGTGGTGTGGGGGGACAGGTGGAGGGTGGATATGCTGTGGAGGCATAAGGGGAGTGTGTTTGGGTTTCTGAATGGAGACAGCTCGGGGCAGTACCAGTGTGTGGAGAATACTGAGGAGGAGAGGGCTCGAAAATCATGTGACAACTGGGCCTTGCTTTTGACAATTGGCTAGCGCCGGAGGGGAGAGTGATGGGGCTTGACAGCTCGGGGCAAGTACCAGTGTGTGGGGATCAGTGAGGAGGAGAGGGCTCAGGCTTCATGCGACAACTGGGCAGGTGAAGCTTGTAGCTCATGCTTCTAGTATGTTGATGGTGCGTGTAAAGGTGCTACTTTTTAGCCTGGTAGTTCAGGTACAGTATAATACCCTTAAATTGGTTTACAGTGTCAAGTCAAGTGCCATGCGAGCAAGAGCCCCAAAGAACAGAACAGTAATGCGACAATAAATCTTTAGCATTTTAAGCCTTTCCTCACTTTCATCCAGTGAAAGCTGCAAGTGTCATGTACTATACTATAAGCTGCTGTATGAAGAGACTGATCTGAAAACGTGCAAACTGCAAGTGCGAACGTGCTAAGTCTTTGGTTTATAGTGAAAGGTTATCAATCACTAGCAATTGGAGCAATACAAAACACTCTAGAGCCGAGATCAACCACACTCATCCCCGCCTCCTCACACAACCTGAAGAACCCTCCTCATCTTCCCTCGGGATTCTCCTGCGCCAGCTCATCACGAAACACGGCCGTGTCAGCGCCACATCAGCAGGCGCCTGCTCCCTATAGCGCTGCTGCTTCTGCACTCGCTGCCTTGCATTCCCACATCCCGCCTCACGTTCCTTTCCCCTGCGGCTGCATTATAGGAGCAGTTGCATCAACAACCATCCCTACTTCCTTCAAGGCAGCAGCAGCTGCATTGGGAACTGTGTCCCCTACCACCGTCTCTTGCTGCTGCTGCTTCTGCTGCTGCTTCTGCTGCTTCTTCTGCTACTGCTGCTTCTTTTGCAGCTGCCAACTCACCTGCATCCATTGCTGCTCCTGCCACCACAGCAGCCTCAGAAGCACCCAGTCCTGCCAAAGAACAACCTGCCTGTTCTCTCTCCTCTACCGAACACCCTTCTTCCCCTCCTCTCACAGAGGCTTTGCCTTGTACGGTCTGGAGGACTTCAGAGCGCAAAGAGGAGGAAGCGGAGGGTCTTGACGAGATTGGGATACTCTTTCACATCTGCGATCAAGACATGAATCACATGGCCCAATGTGAATATGGAGAGACGTGAGAGGCATACACTTGTTAGGGAGCCTCCCGGGAATTGTATTTACGACAATGTATATATAATATATATATGTTTTAAATCTTGTGTATAGAGAAGCAAGGCAGATCAATGCAAAGCTCATCAGAGTACACACATGATGATCTCAAACAATGAATGTGAAACTTGAGACAACCCAATGGGAAAGAATGACACCCAAATCGACACATGAAAACGCACAGAGAAGAATGTCACTAGCGATAATGAGATCCCACGATGGGTGCGCAATGATGTATGCATGGATTCATATGCACATGTAGGAAAATGTAATAAAACGAGAAGAGACATGGGAGAAGAAAACACCAGAATCCACACATACAAAGCAGAACGTCACTGGCAATGATGACATCCCACGATGGCTGGCTGATGGAAACGGTTCTCCCCATGTGTCTGCATGCATGCATGCATTCATGCATACGTGTAGGGAAAACGGGGGAAAGTGGGGAGTTTGTGCAACTTAATTGACGTTTGGATCGACTTGACGCTGGATTGTGTAAGCTTGAGGACCGAAAGAAAAGGGAAGAAAGGTAATTAGGAGATACAAAAAATAGCAGTCGGTTTTGGTGCTTATGTCGAGTGTGCTTTCAATAGTTTGTGCTTACGTCGAATGTGAGGCAATGGTTCCCATTGGCCAAGCAGTTTAGGGTTTTGAGAACATGATTGTGCTTTTAAACGTGCTTACGTCGAATGTGAGGCAGGGGTTCGATGCTATTGGCCAAGCAGTTGTGGTGAATGTTGGCTGCAATGCTGGCATCGTTATAGTCACACGTGGTGATGTCACACCCCATGGCCTTGCTCAGAAAGATGGCCAGCGCACCTGTCCCACTGCAAGCACCCTCGTTACAATCACAACAGATAGTGGGGTTCAAGGCTTAGGATTTTGAGACCACGAAATCGAAATGACAGGAAACACCAAGATCGTAACGAAGGGGGATAATTTGAGGCAATCAAGAAACCCCGACTTAACCTCCCTTCCCCTTCCCTCCCACCCCTCCCCCTCCCCTCTCCCCCTCCCATCCCCCACCGCCCCCACAACCCATATTAAAGTCCGCTCACCTCCCAATCTCCAAGACTCTTGCACCGGCCAATACTTGCGGCCGGGCGGCCAGCCAATCAGCGAACGACAAGGCGCCAGGCCAGAGCAGGTTGGCGTTGACTGGATGGAAGGAGAACTCCCTTATAAGCAGCTCCTGATATAAGACCAGTGCAACGAGGTGGTAACAATACTAATGAGGAGCATATAAAACAAGCTTATGAAAAACTAAAACGCTCGTTGTGGAGAAGAATCCGTAGGAGGAGCAATGAAGTACAGGCAAGGGCGAGTTGGATTCTACTAGATGGAAACAACAGATGGAAATTGAATTTAACAGTAACAGTACCTGGATTAGGCAGATGAAAACCCTAAAACCTCTTTTTAACCGAACCCCACTTCCCCCGCCTTCCCCCCTCCCTTCCCCCTCTCTTCCCCGCTGTTCTCCCACCCTCACCCCGTTCTTCCTCTCTTCCCCCTCACTCTCCCCCCATCAACCCCCCTTTCCCCTTCCCCGCACCGCAACACACCTGTCCCCCGGGAATTTGTGTCGCCTCTCCGCATACTCCATTCCCTCATCCGCCTCCTCCGCCTCCCCCGCTTCCCCCCCGTGCGCGCATCCCCGTTGGTCTCCCGCCGCGCTGCCATTCGGTTCGATTCCGCCGCTTTCGCCGCTTCCGCCGTCAACCTCCACCGCGGTATTCCGCGCAGCTCCTGCAAAGTTAGAGCAGAGGGATCGGCGACGGAAGGAGTAACTCAACTACGTTGTGAAGCCTTGCTGTGGTTCCATCAAGACAATAGTTAACGCTGTACTAATACCAGTCACCCTACAGCAGCGAACAGACGCTTCGGCGAGACTTGAAGAAAAGGAAAGGAAAAAAAAAAAAAAAAAAAAAAAGGTTTTTAGGAAGGGAATCAAAGTGTTGGTAAAATTAACGGCTGCCTTACGTGGCGAATCGTCGTCGTCGCTG